ATTTTTCAGCTTAATTGAGTGCGTGTATTCTGTGTATGTCTTAGTGTGTGGTAGAGATGTTTATAATTTCCCAATATGGTTAGCACATTGTGGCTTTGTTCGTAGTTAATATTGTTAAGAGTTGGCTTTTTCTTTTTTTATTATTAAAGCTTCCATTATTTTTATTCTTTTTTTTGCAGGTGGATACAGTTAATATATTTGTGTTTTCTACTAGCATGTTCCTAATGGAGTCGGGTAAATTTGTGTGTGTGTTTAAATTGGTTCTAATGGAGCTGTGATCAGATAGGTGTAACGTAAGACGTCTGGATAAGCATGTAGTTGTGTAACCGATGTAATTATTTATGAGTCAGGAACACAGTTCCTTAAGGGGCATTTGAACTCATAGATAATGTTCGTTCTTTGTAATTTTGACTTAGTTGGTGTGTTGTTATTTTTGAGGATAAGGTTGGCTGTCTTAAAGTTTTTATAATAGATAAAAAATTGGATTTTTTAATTCAAATCAATTGGAGTAGTATATTTCTTTATAATATGCCTTAGAGAAGATTCGTCTTGTTTGTAATTAATATGCATTTGGTTTTTGTAATAAATGTGTATGTGATTTTTGGCTGTGTGTTCGCTATCGTTATTATTTACTTTGGGGAGGAATAGTCTTATTTGGTGGTCTATAAGGTGGTTAGGGAAGCCTTTGTTGATTAGTGTTTGTTTAATGTTATTAAGTTCTTTGAGGAAGAGTAGTCGAGAGGAAAACAACTATTTTTAGCCGATGCGTTTCGGCCTCTGAGAGACTTTGTCAAGGTAATGTAGTTTTTTTTGCTGCACGTGTTTATATACAAAGACAAGGGTGTTATTATTTTATCAAGACTTTTAAATTTGAGAACGTTCATGAATGTTCATCAGGTTTTTGAAATGTCAGTCAAACCATATGGGAGACACAATGTGTCATAATTCAAAGTCTGGTGAAAAATAAAGTCAGCGATTAATATTCAATAATTTAAAAAAAAAAGTTGGAAATGCATCGGCTAATAAAATGTTTACCTCTCGTCTCTTTATATGTCTTTTGACTCCTCTACAGATAGAATCTATCTGAGAACATTTACACACGCACACACATATATAAACACACACGCCCCACATATATATATATATATATATATATATATATATATATATATATATATATAATGTGCATTTGTTACTCACCGTTACAACAATGAGAATCAAACTAAGAGAATTTCCAAACTACTACTTTATACAACGACACCACGAGGACGTTAAGTGAAGTCTCTTGTCAGACAATATGGAGGAATAAGACAATGACACTTGTGAAATATACATTCTCAATTTTTTCACCTTTCTAATATCAACTTCTTATTTTTCCGTTTGTTTTGTTCCTTCAGGGCATGGGCCATAATCGCTCTCCACAAATTCCTGTTTTTTTAGCTTTTAGTATGTCTTGTGTTTCTGCCACCCCTCCCAATCTCTTTTCTACCAACAATTATTAGCTGCTTTTCTCTGTCCTTTTTTGCCTCCGATATGCTAAACTCTTTCCTTCCTCATGACGTGCTCTAGAAATTTCAATTCTCACTTTCGGATTCTAAACAGAAGCATCCTTATTGTTTCCATTTTCCTTATAACTTCTTCGATATTCGCATGATCACTCAATGATATTCTCAGAATCCTTTTGTAGAACCACATCTCTGTTGCTTAAAGTCTCTTTTTCATCTGGGAGGCTGTTGTCCATCATTCACTGCCAGAGAAGAGGACGTTTATTAGATAACAGTTCATCCCTCTTCTAACATCTTTCTTCATAAATAGTTTCGTTTTTTAGAAGACGTCTTTTGTTATTCGAATTCGCCTTCGGATTTCAGTGTCACATTTTTTTCATCCTCTTTTAAAACACTTCTCAGATATTTAAGTTTTCAGACTTGCTTGATTCGAGCACATCCAAATCACATTTCGCATCTTGGGCTTGTCCCCTTGACGACAACCATATATTCTGTCTTCTTACAAATGATTTGTCCTTCTCGTTTGCTTTTCTCGTTTTCATGACTATTTTTAAGAGTCCCTCTAGTGTCCTTTCTATATTTGCTCTCAACACTGAAGAAGATTTAAAATTTTGCCCATATATCTAAATTATAATTACCCTATTATAATTGGCCTTGACATTTTCTTCGTTAGTTAAAACGACCATTACGCTCCGCCAATACCTCGTAAATAATGAACTATTTCGTTTCGATCGCATGGGAAGAGGCGAAAAGACATTATTTGGCTTCAGTAAGAAAATGAAATAGATAAATAAATGTAGTAGTGCTTAACAGCTGTTTCAGTGAAAAGGAAAAGTTATCAATTTCAAATCTTTTCATTTGTACCCTCTTACTTCTTACAATAACGACCAGAATTCATATGTATGATTGTTATTGCAATATTTTGTTAAAATTGTTAAGCTGAAATAGATAACAATGCGATAGGGGAATTCATACGATTATTTTTATTGTCGTAGAACTCGCCAAACATTAACTTAAGATTTAAGATTCATCAGAAAATTCAAATAGGAAAACCGGTTAAAATTGGCTTAATCGTTTTTTGTCGGACTTAATACATATTTATATAATATATATATATATATATATATATATATATATATATATATATATATATATATATAGTGATAAAATTACATATTCATTTTTATCTGTCCCGACTCCAAAATAGCATCTACTCGTCGATGGAGTGTGATGATATTAAAAGTGATAAAATAAGATTTATGAGAAACTCATAATAGTCACAGATAAGTAAGTATTAAAAGTTATTTGTTAATAATGATACACTATTCTTTATATTCAGCACTTTTCTTACAAAGAATATTTGCCTTAGAAACGTTATTTTTGAGAAATACCTTGGTCAACCATTTTGATGAAATACATTTCTAGTTGCGGTGCTGACTACATAGGGAGAACAACTCAACGCCTGGACATGAGAGTCAAACAACATGTTCCCATTAAGATCAGGAATCATACCTTATCATTGAATGGACGTGTCTCAAATACTTATGGTTCCGCCTTATGTGAGTACCTTTTAAATAACAGAGAGTGTGCTGCTAATTTTAATGCCGACTAGTTCACTGTTGTGTTCCGGTCGCACTCTCTATTTCATCTAAAGAGGCTGGAGGTCTTTTACATCGGGATTCTCTGTGGCTGAAAGGTAACAGCACGTCAGGCTACATGACGGATATCATAAGGGTTACAGGCACAATTCCTGTCGGAGAATTCATATTTTTCTACAGAACATTTCTAACATTCAGGCCAGTAAATGTAATTAATGCTTTAGGATTAAAACAGAGCATTTACATAGATAACTAACGTATTAACAGAAAATATATAAAATAATAGTCGTACTTAATCCATTTCAAAATATATATATATACTAGCAGCATGGCCCGGCGTTGCCCGTGCTTGATTAAAAAATCGTACGACTCATACAGCAATCGCTATCACTTGACTTAAAATATTTTGCCCTTCCTTGCCTTTAAAGGAGTGCCCTTTGACGTGCTGATGTTGCTACATGCCTTACTTCTTGCCTTTCTCACACTGCGAATTTTTTCTAAGCTCTATACTAAACATTAAATCTGTTACGAAAAAAGAACTAAACAAAATGAACACAAAACGATCAGCTTTAAAAAAGAACTCGTAACTGGAAAAACCGAATGAAAAAAGAATGTTAACAACAAATACTTTTTCACACCCAACACAGTTCTGCGGAATCAGAATCAACGTTGAGTTTAAGCAAGCGAATGAGCCAATTGGAGTAAAGTGCCATGCAGATGTAAATTTTTCCCACTTGTGACGAATGTAGCTATCGATTTTTTTGCATGCTAGCATGCTAGTTAACGTTCGTGTCAGTCAGCTGTTGGCTCTCACGCTGGCCAATAGAATCTTCCTGCCTATTCGTGGCGGCCAGCTATTGGCTCTCACTCTGGCCAGTACAAAATGGCCGCAAACTACACGAAAACTGTCGTAGAAGCATGAAAAAATCGATTATTTCCACTATCGATGGGAGTTGGGAAATGCAAAGTCGATCTTGGCCTTTCCGCTAACTTGGATCATGTGCATGTAAATTTTGGTGCAAATCCGTCGAAAATTGCGGCCGTGCATTCGTTACACACACACACACACACACACACACATCCGGCCTTATATATATATATATATATATATATATATATATATATATATATATATATATATATATATATATTATTATTATTATATTATTATTACTTACTTAAACGTAATTTTTAGTGGATATCCATAATTAAGTAGTTTATTTATTAAAATATATATTTCTTTTCGTTTGCTGACCTCATAGGAGACATTTTTCTCGAATATTCAGTCGGTAGACGAAAATAAATACACTATCTCCTCTCCAGGTATAGGTTGAATTGTTTATACAATATTTACCCATAAAAATAAATGTTTTTGTTATAATTCAAAGTATATTCGAGCTTTAAATGACCAAAAAAAAAAAAAAAAAATGCTGTCAAGCCGTAAAAATAGAAAAAAAAGACCCTAAGTGATAATTACGTATGACTAGTTATGTATGTCTGTGTTCTTTGTAGATTAACAGGTTATCTAACGTTACAAGCTGAGTATTTTGGTTTGCTACATATTGCCTCTGGTGCACATATGCGTACATTCGATGATTTTATTTATTGTAATATAAACTGCGAGGATTACAGAACTCTTCTAATGGATCTGTATTCTTTTATAAATATGACAATGAAGAATCAATGTGTCATGGTATTATGGAAAAGAAACCTACGTGGAGGACAGCCATTAGCTTAGATTTTCGAGCTTAATAAATTTGATATTATTTACCAAAATATATCATAACTAAATTATACAAAAATGTTAATGGTAACTGTAAGAATAAAACGTCGAAGTGTATAATATTATATGCAACTTTAGAAAGATATTTTCAGTGAACTGATCCTGGGTATACAGAACAAATATGTGTGTGTGTGTGTGTGTGTATGTTTTACTATATAATTTCTGTTCGTGCATATCTGTCTATCTATCTATCTATCTATCTATCTATCTATCTATCTATCTATCTATCTGTCTGACTGTCTGTCTTCACATAATTTCTGTTCGTACTCTAATTATTTGGCTGTTTTTCTATCTATCTATCTATCTATCTATCTATCTATCTATCTATCTATCTATCTATTTCACATAATTTCTCTTCGGACATAGTCTAATTATTTGGCTGTTTTCTTTCTTTCTTTCTATCTATCTTTCTATCTATCTCTCTCTCTATCTATCTTTCTTCACATAATTTCTCTTCGTACATAGTCTAATTATTTGACTGTTTTCTATCTATCTATCTATCTATCTATCTATCTATCTATCTATCTATCTATCTATCTATCTCTCTTTCTCTCTCTCTCTATCTATCTTCACATAATTTCTCTTCGTACACTGTCTAATTATTTGGCTGTTTTCTTTCTTTCTTTCTTTCTTTCTTTCTTTCTTTCTATTTTCATATAACTTCTCTTCGTATACTACAGTTTAAATTTTGAGGAAACTCCTGGTAATTTTTTTTAAATTGGCTTCCAAAGTAGTTGTTTCGTATTTATATGACAAAATTATTATACATTAAGAAAAGTGCGACATGATATTTTACGAGAAATTTTATTATGACAAAAGAAAAAGGAGCTGATTATGATTTAATTTTGCTCTCATCAAAATATCCTCCTTTAGTCATGATTACTGCAGTACAAAACTTTGGCATACGTTGCAAAAGTTTCTCAGCAGAGTATAAATTGATTCCAGTTTTTTTTTCAATGAATCTAAGAATCGTTTTTCATTTTTCATTTGACTCTTCTGTTAAGTTCATCCTATACTAATTCTGGGGTGGCTTCAAACTTTTGAACTACTGTGTATATATCAGTTAAATTAACCAGATATTCTTTTTTTCTTTCTTTCTTTCTGTCAGCCTATCCGTATCTATCTATCTATCTATCTATCTATCTATCTATCTATCTATCTATCTATCTATCTATCTATCTATCTAAATCATACAACTCAATTTATCTCTACATACGCTTTGTATTCAAACGAAAAATTTCGCCTAGCGCTAACCGTTTTGTAGATTAATGTTCAAATCGATGAGTCAATACGTGTTGACAGTCGCTCGTATTTTTGATCAATATTCGGCATAAAGCTATTAATCCGTAAATAAACAAGAAACAATCATCCGATAGAATCAGATCGCCGCTCCGAACATCGACACACACACAACACACACACACACACACACACACACACACACCTCCTCTTGCTTGTGACGCGGACATTTTATCTTACAAATAAGATTGGTAATCAAAATTTAACAAGAACAACGGACAGGCGTGATACTGAATTGAGAACATTGTTTTTTTACTATTGTTCTATCAACGCAATGCTCAAGAGTAACTCAATGTAGAGGTTGCTAAATGAACTATGAGTGGGAGGAAATAAGGAAGTGCAGATATGTAGGAAAAATAAGGACTGGTCTTAGACGTAAAGAGCTCGAACATTACATTGATTCTGGGGAATCTCTTTCACAAATTCGCTGATCTTATAAAAAAAAAGGTTGTCCGAATGAAAGTTAGCAATTGTATGCGATGGGAATACGATGAATCGTTCATGTGGCCTGGCGGGTCCGAGAACTGTGAAACTAGTGTAAAATAAATTTTCCGAACATATTCCAAGGAATTTATCGATACAGTAGCGAGAGACGTGCTAGGTTTCGTCTGTGAGGAAAGGGGTTGTAGGTTGGAAAATAACGCACGGGTCGAATCTTTTGAACTCTGTCGAGGCAGCAAAGTTACGGGGAGTAGTCGACCGCTCCACAATCAACCGGATTGAATTCAGTGTTAACTTTCTTATAGACTGGTTACCAGCCATGGATAAAGAGCCCTGTTTGCTCTAATATTTAACCCCTTCAGCTGGGGGGTGTAGAAATTGAGTCATACTTTTCTTATGTGTACCTCTATTATTCTTTTCAAATATTGCTTCTTTGCGACCTGCACATCGGTACACTATTTACATTATTCGGGCTATTGTCCTCATCTTTGTCGCCATATTTATTACAAATTTTTTAACCGTTGTACGCTCCGGCCTTCTTCAGGTGGTTGGAATGTAGAACTAAACCCCTTATTTGCATATGTCACGTGGAACTAGAACAGTCTAACCCAGTGAGCGAAATAAAGGGTTCAGTTCGACATTCCAATCACCTGAAGAAGGCCGGAGCGTACAACGGCTGAAAAGTTGTGATAAACATGGCGACAAAAATGAGGACAATAGTCCGAATAATGTAAATAGTGTGCATAATACCTCATCTCAGAAAAAATAGACAGATAATATATTTTTCATTACATTTCAGCGCTGAGTTGCTGAAGGAGAATTTTCTAGAACTTTCAAGATCTTTCGATGAGTTTCTAAAAGATTCAAGGCTTTCTACAATGTTCTGGCAATACAGATGGTAGTATAAATGCCAAGAACAGAAGATGAAAAAGTTCAGTTTCCTTCTAGTTGTCCAAGTGCAGACAAGTCGTCGATGCATTCGTCACAGATGACATCAAGAGGTTGTAAGCTTCCGGCAGAGGCATTTTGCTATGTCTGTGGCGAATTTATCAAGACAAGAGCGAAAAAGCACTTTGTGTCAACATTTACTAAAATGTGTGAGGCCTATAGGCATATTTCAGCATTTCTGTCGGGAATCAAGACAAACCCTGGTACCTCATTACACCTGCAAACCATGCAAAAGAAATCCAGAAGGTAAGATAAAAAGTTTTGCTTGTTTGGGGAATGGAATTTTTAAGTGTAAAAAGTTTGGAATTCTTTTAATTTAAACATTTTTACTTTATTTTAAAACTAGTGTTATTGAAAAATATGTATTAAACATATTTCAAAAATAGCGTATTAGTGTCCACAATTTCGTTGAATGTTTTCTATACCATATTACTGGCAAGGACCATAATATTACGGACTATTAGGGGTGTTCAGTATTCAAGATTTTGTATTCTTGTGGTATTTGGTACATTAATTGGGATCCTGAATCAGAATTTTATATATTCCGGGTGCAACAGCAAAATTTCCAAATCGTATAACAACAAAATTGTCCAATTGTTAGATTAACCTGTGAACCGTTGTATCTTAGAAATGATTAAATATATCTTACTGGAATTCCTCGAGGTTTATATAAAACTATTGATCTCTACTTTGAACAAGAAGAATGTATTTAGATCTAAGTTGAAATGATTATCCCTCTTGCTGTTGTGACTACCAGATCCAGTTTTTCACTCTATCGTTCCCTCTTTTCACCTTTCCCTTGATCTTTCATGAAAGGACTTTGAAGACGGAAGCCCTGTGTATGAATGTGGGCACGATTACTGAAGGCCTGAATAAATTTTTTCCTCTCACCATTGCTCAGTTGTGAAGACATAAGTGGGATGAAACAAAGCGATTTTAACCTGTTCTCTTTCTAGCTCACACGTTTTTTTCAGTGATTCTTACGAGAAATGATGGCTAAACCTTTTATATGAAAACCTAGAAAAAAGAAACTCAATTAGTTTAGTGTTTTTTTTATTAAACATTTTGGGTGATGGAAAATTGTCTCATGTTGTTTGGACTATTTTGCTATTATACGCACGATTTTTAGAAATTTAAAAAATGAAAAATGTATGATTTTAGATTTTTCAATAATACTGAGTGAAACATATTTGAATTTTTATACTCATATTTTATTTTGCTCTTTCAAAGGTTGGTACTGATGGAAGAAAAGAGCCATTAAATTCGAAATCCCACGAATTTGGAGGGAGCTAATTGATCACTCAAGCAATTGCGTCTTCTGCATCATATACCCAAACTTTGACATCATCGCCCCAGTGCCACACTGTCCTGATCTCCCCGTAACAACTCCTCCAAAGAGAGGGCATCTGTCTTCAGTAGAGAACAGCAATTCAGAAGAAGATGTAGACATTCATCCAGATTACGGAGGCGCAGCTGAGGAGAGAAACCCATACACCACCAACCAAAAAGACCTCGTCGAGCTGATCAGAGATCTTGGTCTCACGAAGTTCAATTTTGACCTCGAGATTCAAGCAGTGGAATTTGTTAGATAAAAATGTGCAAATCGCAGATCACTGAGCGCGTCACCAGTGTTTTTCAAGCGTTTTCATCCGTCAAAATAAGCTTTGCTTCTGCTGCAATATGGCTAGTGTGTTTGGGGTAATTGGAATCGCCTGTAACCCCAGTAAGTGGCGCCTCTTCATCGATAGCACATCCACAAGACTAAAGATTGTGCTGCTTCATAACAGGAACATGTATCCATCTCTTCTCCTGTTTAACTCCTGTCTAACTCATAGAGGAATACAACAGTGTCAAGATTTTGCTAGATACTTTGAAATATGAAGAGTGTGGTCGAGGGGTTATTGGAGACTTCAAAATGGTGGCCTTCCTGATGCATCTGTAAGGCGGCTTTACCAAGCTTTCGTATTATCTTTTCATTTGGGACAGCAATGACACCGCGGTAGACTACAACAGGCGGAACTGTTCACAGTGGACCGAGATCAGTGTGGAGTAGAAGAAGGTCAAACGGGAGCCACCGTTGGATCCCCGGAATGCACTGATTCCTCGACTGCCCCTAAAATTGAGCTTTATGAAACAATTTGTCACAGCTCTAGATAAGAAGTCTGCAACCTTCAAGTAACTTCAAGATTTCTTCCCTAAGCTGTCTGCGGTCGGTGTCTTCGTCGGGCCACAAGTAAAGAAGATCATAGAGATCAAGAAATTCTCCAGGAAGATCGCAATTCAGATGAGGAGAGAAACACATACTCCACCAACAAAAAGACCTCATCGACCTGATCAGAGATCTTGGTCTCACAAAGTTCAATGCCAAACTTTTGACCTTGAGACTCAAGCAGTGGAATTGGTTAGATGAAAATGTGCAAGTCGCAGATCACTGAGAGCGTCACCAGTATTTTTCAAGCTTTTTCACTAATCAAAATGAGCTTTGCTTCTCCTGAAATATGACTAATGTGTTTGCGGTAATTGGAATCGCCTGTAACCCCAGCGAGTGGCACCTCTTCATCGTCAGCTCATCCAAGAGCCTCAGAACCGTGCTGCTTCATAACAGGAACATGTATTCACCACTTCCCATGACTGCAACTCAAAGAGGAAAACAGATCTTGC